CCTCCTCCTTTTTTCTTCTTTATCCTCCTTCCTTCCCTCCTTCCCTCCCTCCCTTCCAACCTACCTCGATCTTGTCCACGCTCCGGGCGCAGCCCACCACTTTCAACCCGTGCTGCACCAGCGCCCGAGCAACGGCCGCTCCGATGCCCGCCGAGGCGCCCGTGACCAGCGCCACCCGGTTCTTCCAGCGCTCCATGACTCCCCGAGCCGAGCCGGTTGCCGGCGCTTGCCTGCCTCCAACCGCGGTCGCTTCCTCCTCCCTCCCTCCCTCTCTCCCTCCCTTCCTGCCTCCCCGAAGCGCTGGAGCCCGTCCGGCGAAGCTTCTCTGGGAGGAGGAGGAGGAGGCGGAGGAACCGACCGGCGCACTCGCCTCCTTCTCCAAGGGCAGCCTCGCCCTTCGGCTGGCCGGGAAGCGCCGCGGCCCCCTCCCCGGGCAGGGTTGAAAGTTCCCCTTGCCTTTGACCAGCGGGGTGGGGCCTTCTCCCGCCCGGGGAGCAGCGCCAGGCGACAGCGGAGGATGCCACGCGTGGGAAGGGGACAAACCTCGGGGCAGCCGCGGGCTCTTAGCCGGGGCTCCGACCTGCCCGCCCGGCTGCCTTTCTGCCACGCTGGTGCCTTCGCCTCCTCTTCTGCAGCCGGTGAACGAGCCAGCCTTTAAGATTATTCCATAGAATAACAGAGTTGGAAGGGCCTTAGAGGTCATCTAGTCCAACTCCCCCTGCTCGAGCAAGAAAGTCTATTCCAAATAGTAGCCTCTACTTGAACTCACAGCCTCCTGATTGTGAGGCGGGGAGGGACTGGAAGCTAAAACGGATGAAGAACGGTTGCTGGAATTGGGGGTGTCTGGTTGAATGAAAAGAAGGACTATTGGGGTGACATGATAGCTGCCACAAACTTATAATTATCCATCATTTGCCTGCATTGGTATAGGGTCTCCTGCTTGAACAGGGGGTTGGACTAGAAGACCTCCAAGGTCCCTTCCAACTCTGTTATTCTGTTATTTGTTATTAAAGAAAAGGGAAGTCAAGCTATTCTCCAAAACACCTGAAGGCAGGACAAGAAGCAATGGGTGGAAACTAATCAAGGAGAAACCCAACCTAGAACTAAGGAGGCATTTCCTGACATTGAGAACATGTCCAATTATTCAGTGGAACGACTTAACTCAGAAGTTATGGATTTGAAGTATTTGATTGTAAATGTGTTAACAGCGGCTAGGATTGTATTTGCTAAAAATTGGAAGAGTGAGAAAATACCAGCAGAGGAAGAAATCATTAAAAAAATATTGGAATGTGCTGAAATGAGTAGATTGACATTTGAAATTAGAGAACAAGAAGATAAACAATTTTATGAAGTTTGGGATCTTTTTTATCAATGGTTAGATAATACAATATAATAATAGAATGTTTAGAAATTTAGGAAATAATGAATATACACTTTTTCTTGGTTTTGATAATATTTTTAGAATATTTTATTAAGATAGATTTGGTATGATTTTATGAATTGTTATAAAATAAATTAACTAAATTATAGTTATCTCGCTTAAGTATGAATTAGTAAAATTATAGTCAAATGATTGTTTAATAATGATATTAGGATATATAATTGTTGATTGATAATATGAGTTATTATGTGATATAATTATTATGATGACTATGAATGGATGCACAAAAAGGAGTGGTGAACCAACCGATACACTGTCTGTAAATTTATGAAGGATGATGATGTTTTTATGTTATGTCTTATGTTATGTTTTTTGTGTTTTTGTTTGTTGTTAAAATCAATAAAACTTTTACCAAAAAAAAAAAAAGAAGAGATTGGACAACCATTTGTCTGAAGTGGCGTAGGGTTTCCTGCCTAGGCAGCGGGTTGGACTAGAAGACCTCCAAGGTCCCTTCCAACTCTGTTATTCTATTTTTGTGAAGCAAGGAAAGAAAACGGCTGACACAAAAAACCAGCTTTTCTCCAAGCACCTTCTGGCCATCACCCTCGATGTTCATGTTCTCTATTGAAAGGTCTTCTTCACTGCAACTTTTCAATCTTGTCCCTGTTTAACAGTTTAGAGAGTGCTGTGAAGCTGTCTATAAGTCTTAACTACTATTGCTATCTTCAAGGACGTTTCTGGAGGATTGATGCAAAGGTCCAGCTTAGTATGCACACCGTATGTTTACACCAATTGGTATACCCCAATGCTTCCATTCTGTATATGCACCCTGTATTTTTCCTGCTGTTTCATCCCCCTTTATTGAATGCATGCCTCCCTCCATTGTTTTTATCACAGGCATACAAAAAATAGGTGCGAAGACTCTAGAAATTGTGCAGAGAAGAGCCACAAAGGTGTTTAGGGGATCTGGAGACTAAATTGTTTGATGAACGGCTAAGGCAAGTGTAGAGTTGTAATTGCAGGAATATTCCTATCTCGGATGGCAAACCTCAGATAAAGAATGTTTCCAAGCAAATACAACTCAGGCAAACAAAGTCACTAATCTAAAGGAGGATTAGAGAGAGGAAGTAAACATATGTTAGACTTTAACTAGAGATAATTGTGTTAATTACTATGCTAAACAGTAACGAAAGTTAAGCAGTAACCAAAGTTAACCAATGATGGAGGATAATTAAAAATGTGTACAAATGCAAGACTAGACTCCAATAAAGATCATCATGATTCAGTTGATCATGATCAAACACCTCGACTGCCTCGTCATTACAACAGGCAAGGCTCTTCAACCTTGGCAAGTTTAAGTCTTGTGGACTTCAACTCCCAGAATTCCTAAGCTAACATGCCTGGAGGAGGAATTCTGGGAGTTGAAGTCCACAAGTCTTAAACTTGCCAAGGTTGAAGATCCCCTGGGCTTAAGGGAATTTAGGTATGTTTAGCCTAATGAAGGGAAGGATTAGTGGGGACATGATAGCCATCTTCCAACTTTTAAAGGTCTGTCACAGCAATGAGGTTGGCAATTCACTCTCCTGAGGGCAGGACAAGAAGCAGTGGGTGGAAAGCTCCTCCCAAGGAGACCCAACCTGGAAATAAGGAAGAATTTCCTGACACTTAGAACAATTAGCCAGTGGAACAGCTTGCCTCCAGAAGTTGTGGATGCTCCATCACTGGAGGTTTTCAATAAAAGATTGGATGAGCATTTGTCCAGGATGGTATCAAGGCTCATGTCTTGGGGGTTAGACTAGAAGATCTCCAAGGCCCCTTCCACCCTACAGTTCTATAGCGGGGTTTGCAAAAGATAGGGTGCAAGTAACCCAAAGAATTATAGGGTGCAAAAAGTGGTTAATTTATGAGGCGTCTCTCCTTTGAAACCACAAAGTCCAGCTGATTTTGAAAACAATGGTTAAGATAACAATGGTTAAGATAAATAGATATACTGCATAAAATGCCAACCTGGGCCACAGCAAATAATTTCCAATAAAGATACATAAATTATCTCTTCTTTTTTTTCAAGTTCCCTACCCACCTTCCCTTCCTCCCTTCAGTCTTCTTTTTTAAGAGTTGGCAGATTAAAAATCACAGAATGTAAGAAGCTTAAGGAAATCCCATTTAAAACACCAATATAACCCAACATGGAGGCTGTGTTTGCACAACACCCTGAACAGCAAACTAGTAAACATCTGAGCTGAATGTACTATACGACCTTGCTTCGTTTATGGATGAGTGGGTCACGAGAACCAAGGTTTATTGGAAAATCCATCGTTGTAGACCAAGGTTTACAACACAGCACAATATCCGTTTTAAAAAGCTGTTAAAGCATCACATATAAACGAGTATAAATCACGCCTTTTCCTTTGTGCTTCCTTTACGCAAGCCCCTATTGCAGTATTTTTCAGCTTCAGCTACTTTTTGAGGTATAGACTTCAACTCCCAGAACTCCTTAGCCAGCATGTCACCTGCGGAATTCTGGGAGTTGAATTCTGGGAGTTATAGTTACTGAGGTTAAGAAATGCTGTTCTATCATATACGCACATCTTATCCATATCTATATTTAGATTACACTCATATAAGTTTATCCCATTCTTTTTTACTTTATGATATAAAGTCTATCTTTGGTCTAACCATTTATACCAGCAATTCCAATTGTTATAATATATTGAAGAATCTTTGTTTTTAAGTGCTAAAGTTAGTTTGTCCATTTCTGCACAGTCTGAGATTTTCTGGATGATCATCTGTTCTGTAGGTATGTGAGGTAGTTTCCAACACTGAGCAAACGTTAGCCTGGCCGCTGTTAAGATATGTATTGTTATATACTTCACTTTTTTAGGTAGCTGTTTGTCAAAAATCCCTAACAGGAAGGACTCTGGTTTATATTGAATCTGTTCTTTTGTTATCTCTTCTAGCCACTTTCTAACTCTTTGCCAGTATTTCTGGGTTTCCTTACAAGACCACCACATATGAAAAAAGGTTCCATCTATATTTTTACATTTCCAACATTTTGGACTCGTGTTGGGGTGCATCTTCGCTAACCTCGAAGGAGGAAGGTGCCATCTGTAAAACATTTTGTAAGTGTTTTCTTTATAAGCTGCCGATTTAGTGATCTTATTGTTTCTGTTCCAAATCTTCTCCCATTCTGTTAATGTGATACTCCGTCCAACATTCCTACTCCAAGCTATCATATTCCCTTTGACTGTCTCTTCTTCTAACTCTACTTCCAGTAGGTAGTTGTAAAATTTAGTTATATTTTTTTTGTTTGATCCTAGTAAGATTTTGTCTAAGTGCTGGAGTTTGTTATTAATTCCGAAATCTTTTTTATCTTATTTATATCTACTGTAAATTTGAAGGTATACCCACTGATCTATTTTAAATCCCCGCTCTTGTAGTTCTTGTCATGTTTTCAATTTTCCTTGTGCATCTAATAAATCTTTATATTTGATCATTTTAGTAATGTCCAGATTGTTTGGGTGAATCATTGCCTCCATTGTCGATAACCAAATCGATACTTTTAAATAGTGTTTCTTCTGTACTTTTTTCCAATTAGTTAATAGTGAATCTCTAATTAAGTGTCTATGGAAATATGACTGATTAGACTTTCCCTACTTCCCATAAAAAGGCGTGCCATCCCCTCTGCAGGTCGTGGCCTTCTAACAATAGCGTTCTTTTGTTAAGTAAATTCACCCAATCTTTTAACCAAACTAGAGTAGCTGCCATGTAGTATAGTTCCCAATTTGGAAGTGCCAATCCACCCCTACTTTTCAAATCCTGTAATGCCTTTACATTAATTCTAGATTTCTTTCCTTGCCAAATGAATTTAACTATTATTTTGTTCAGTTCTTCAAAAAAAAAATTATGCAATTTAATTGGAATCGTCTGAAATAAGTATAAGATAATAAGTATAAATAAGTATAAGAATTTTGGTAGAATATTCATTTTGATAGAAGCAATCCTGCCCAATAGTGAAAGTTGCAACCTACTCCATGATTCTAAATCTTTCTTTACTTGTTGCAACAATTTGTCATAGTTATTCTCTTTGAGTGTCTTACAATGTGGTGTTAGCCATATTCCTAAATATTTAACTTTCTTTGTTATCTGTATTCCCATACTTACCTCTAATTCCTTTTTCTGGTCTTCTGTTAGATTTTTAGTCATTAATTTTGTTTTTTTCTATTGATTTTAAGTCCTGCTACTGCACCGAATTGTTCTAGTTCTTTTATCAATTTATGTCCTTTTTCTATTGGTTCCTCCAAAAAGAAAACCATATCATCGGCAAACGCTTGCAATTTGTATTCTTCTGTTTTAATCTTCAGTCCTTTAATCTCAGGATTTTGCCTAATTCGTGTTAAGAGTGTTTCTAAAGCGAATATAAAGAGAAGAGGTGAAAGAGGGCAACCCTGTCTGACTCCTTTTTCTATTTTTATTGGACCAGTGTATTCCCCATTTATTATGATATTGGCCTGCTGTGTATCATAAATTGTTATTTTCAAATTTGGTGCCTAAATTCATATTATAAATTTTTTGAATTAAGAAATGCCAATTTAAGTTGTGGAATGCCTTTTCCGCATCTAAAAACATGAGTGCAGATTGTTTCTCAGGGTGGGCTTCATAAAATTCTAAAACATCTATTACTGTTCTTAAATTATTCTTTATCTGTCTAGTTGGGAGAAATCCATTTTGGTCTTCATGTATGTATGGATTTAAAACTTGTTTTAGTCTGTTGGCTATAATAGAGAATATTTTATAATCAGTGTTTAGGAGTGAAATTGGTCTGTAGTTGTTAATGTATCTATGGTCAGATTCCTCCTTTGGGATCAGCGAAATCAATGCTCCCCTCCACGAGTCCGGCATCTTAGCTACCAGTTAAGACCTCGTTAAACACTTCCATCATCAGTGGTCCAATTTGTTCCGCAATTGCTTTATATAATTCTGCCAGGATCCCATTTGGCCCCGGGGTTTTATTATTCCCTTGATTCTCTATTGCTGATTTCAATTCGGACCATGTAATATCTTTGTTTAATAATTCTATCAGTTCATCTCCAATTACTTTGTCTTTCGTTTCATCTAAGTAATTTCTTATTTTATCCTCATTGACTTCTTTTTTATATAACTCTTCAAAGTATTTGTGTACAATGTCTTTTTTTTCTATCTCTTGTTGTATGTCGCCCTTCTCGTCTATGAATTGATATATCAATCTCTTTTCTATCCTTTTTTTAAGTTTATAAGATAGCCATCTTCCTGGTTTATTAGCATATTCAAAATAAATTTGTTTAGTCATTTTCAAATTTATTTCCATTTTTTTCTTGTTCCATTAAGTTCAAATTTTGTTTGGCTGTTATCTGATTTTGTACTCTTTGATTTTTAGGGGTCTTTTGTAATTGGATTTATATGAGTGTAATCTAAATATAGATATGGATAAGATGTGCGTATATGATATAAATTAAGAAGAGAAAAGATCTTACAAACTGTCGAAAATGAGAATGTTTTTAAGTGTTCACCTTTTTTTTTTCTTTCTCTTCCTTTCTTTCTTTTTTCTTTTTGCGTTTCTTTCTTTTTTCTTTGCACTTTTCTGGCTTTTCTATTTGTGTATGTGTTGTTGATTTGTTTTTAATTGTAAAATTAATAAAATTTGTTTTTAAAAAAAGAAAAGAAATGCTGTTCTATTGGATCTAAGTTTTGGTGTCAACCCTGAATTTGACCTGACTGGAGTCATGTTGGAGCTTTAGTGCTGCCACACTGGAGCCAAGGGATAGGGAGATGGGGGATTAGAGAGAGCTGGAGATATGTAGTCAAAACAAAATACTTTCTCTTGGGAACCAAGGACATTCTCACACCTGATCGGAGGAAGGCGGAGTGATGTCACCAGGCAACCAGACAGCGCCTTGATTGGACCATGTGTTTGGGGATGAGAGGAAAACTTTTAATTGGGTGAAAAACTGTGGGAATCTTCAGACTCTGTTTTCACCAGATCTGTCTGTCTGGTTTGGTTCTGCAACCCAACAGGACAGACACAGACTTCAGAGGATAATTAGGACTGCAGAAAAAACAATTACTACCCACCTGCCTTCAATCGAGGACCTGTATACTGTCGAGTCAAAAAGAGGGCTGTGAAAATATTTACAGACTCCTCACATCCCGGACATAAACTGTTTCAACTCCTTCCCTCAAAACGACGCTATAGAGCCCTGCACACCAGAACAACTAGACACAAGGACAGTTTTTTCTTGAACGCCACCACTCTGCTAAACAAATAACTCCCTCAACACTGTCTTATTTACTAAGTCTGCATTACTATTGCTATTAATCTTCTCATCACTCCTTATCACCCATCTCCTCCCACTTGTGACTGTATGGCTGTAACTTTATCGCTTGTATCCTTACGATTTATATTGACTGTTTCCTAGTATGATTTGATTGCTTATTGTAACCTATCACTGTCATTAAGTGTTGTACCTGATGATTCTCGACTCGATGAATGTATCTTTTATGTATACTGAGAGCATTTGGACCAAGACAAATTTCTTGTGTGTCCAGTCACACTTGGCCAATAAAAGAATTCTATTCTATTCTATTCTATTCTATTCTATTCTATTCTATTCTATTCTATTCCAATTCCAATAAATATTCTACTCCTATTCCTATTCCTTTCTATTCTATTGTACTCTACTGTACTCTACTCTATGCCAATATGATATTTCCAATAAAGCTATTCCTTGAAGATGCTACCTGCCTTGGAGTTTTTGCTGGATATGGATCTATTACGTGGAACCCTGACACTCGGCCTTTGGCGGTTCTCCTGGAAACATGCAATCTAAGAAAGGATGGGAGACCACCAGGAAATTTAAAAATAAAATGAAGAGGTGACCATGGCAGGCCACTTCTACACCAGTGCCAAGCAATGTGCATGATGGTACTTGCAGAGGCTCCAGGAGTTCATCTTTTATCATGATTACTGGATCCATAAGCCACAAACTACGGGATGCAATCAGGCTTTTTAAAGTGATCACTTTGAAACCTCTTTCTTCCCTCCTCTACCCTTAAAATTTAAACCTAACTCTGGCAAGCTTCCCGCATCCTCCGATTTCACGAACGACGGCAGAAACAAACACACTTATTTTTTTTGTCTTTTCTTATTTTTTTTACTATGCATCTTAATAAATATTCTTTATTTTTTAAATTTTGCACACCGCGCTTCCGACATATTACATCCAGAACATCTTTTTTAAATTTTCTTTTTTTGCAAATGGATGTCTACTTTGTAAAATCCTTTTTATATTGAGCTCATTGTCATTTCTGTACAGAATTATAAGTACAACATTACTTTTGTCACTAAGCTGCTTTTTTTTTCCTGTTTGATAAGTGTCACAGTTAAGAGAAACATTGAATGAAAAGAGGTGGCTTTTAAATTAGGATAAGTTTTGGGGCTGGTCTCAGTTCTCCTTGTCAAAAACTAGAGACCAGGAAGCCTGGAAATACAGTAAGATTGGGGGCAGGGAACTAAATTAAAGGGATTAAATTCCACCAGCCTCCTGCAGAGGAAAGAAGGAAAAAGAAGGAAAGAAGGGAAAGGGGAGAGAAAGAAAAGAGAAGGGGAAGGGAAGGAAAGGGAAAAGGAAGGAAGGGGAAGGAAAGAGGAAAGGGAAGAGAAAGAAAAGAGAAGGGGAAGGAGAAGGGAAGGAA